ATGTATTATTATATTATTAAATAAATTATATATTAATATATAAATTTTAATCAAATTTATATATTTATTATAATTTATCATAATTTTTTAATCAAAATTTTGATTGATCACTTGGCTTTGTCTCAGTTAAAATAAAGTTATGAACGTCTAATGAACGATCGTAAAATCGCACGATCGTCGACGAGCATAAAATGTTTACGCTCATCTGCCGGCGACAATAATTACCCGGCAAAAGAAAGAGTTTATGTTCTTATAAGCGCAAGAAAAATATTGCGCTTATTCGCCCACGGCAATAAATAGCCGGCGATGAAAGGAGTATATATCTTCTTTTTCAATCTCTGATTAGAGATCGATCCAGAAAGTGGCCAGGAGCAACAAAAGGTAGGTCCAACTGGCCCGAAGAATGGATATAGGTTACGCAAAATAGGTGGCCAATATTGGCTAAAATGCGTAACGAGAAGTACATAAGGTACTTAGGTAGGATTAGAGCACGCGAGTAGGGCACGCGAGTAGGGCACGCGAGTAGGGCACGCGGTTAGGGCACGCGTTTAGGATATGTGATTAGGGATACGTTCTCCAAATCTCTGCTGGTTTAGCCAGCAAGTAGGATTGTTAGGTCGTATTGGAAAAAATATTCTCACACATAAATTTAACCGTGTGTGTTTTCATACCAAAGAGTCGTTGATAAAATCGGGAATTTTTATATATATTATATATACGTATTTTCCAAATTTGCAAAATTTTACAAATATATATAATTCTTTGATATTAAATATGAAAAATATCAAATAAGAGTATGAAGATTCGATGTTAAACTAACGGTTAAGTATTAGCTTCTTATTTACGAAATTTAACAATCACTTTCGATATTGCAAATCACGAGTAGATTATTATGAATTTTATGATTTACTTTTAATTAGAGATGTATTTACAATTTCCGTATTGGAACTAAATATTCGTAAAATAAATAAATTACACTACGGAAACACCATGTTTTTTCCGCGTTTTTCCGCGTTTCCCCGCGTTTTTCCGCGTTCTTTCCGTTCTTTCTATTCTTGAACGGGTGTTGATTCGCTGTCCCTCTCGTCAGATGAACGTTAATAAAGTTGCCTGGTTCGTACTGGCAAGTAGTCGAAACGATCTTTATCGTGAAGAATTATTTCTTGTTAGTTTTTGTAAGATCCATCCGCGACGTCTAGTTCGGTGATCTGTTGAAAATTGGGGATTTTCGTTGCAGGATTGGAATTAATCTCAGGTTTTCCTGGCGATTCCTGAAAGCAATGGTTTCAGTAATAACTCAAAGACAAACGCCATACGCCTCTTTAAAGTCGAATTAAGAAATTAATTTAAATAGTATATTTAGAAGAAAGATATATTTTCTTCTCTTCGTCAAAAGTGTTCTTCTATAATTATTAGTATTAACATTATTATTGTCTTTATGAAAAAGAAAGACTTAACAGTAGATTAAATATGGATATAACTATTGTGTATAAATTTATATTTTTTTAGTAATTTTAAATTGCAATCAGTTTGCCCGTTTGTGTTGACTTTTTTGATAAAAAAAATCTCCACCTTAACGAAGGCATTTGCCGGGTGAGGAGGTTTGAGTACTCTAATGATCCTGAGAGCTATGCCGGCGGTAATGTATAGCATTTTTGAGTGAAGCAGGTTTGATCGTTCTGCGACCGATTAATGACGTCATATATTCCATCTTGGATTATTAGGGGTACTTGAATTATTAGATTAATTAATGAAATACTTCAAGTAAGCATTTGATATTTAATCAGGGCAAAAAATGAAGTACTTTGAAGCAAAAATAGCGTTCAAATAGGGCATAAACTTTATATTATTTATATTATTAATGCATTATTAATCAGATTCTTCCGAAAAATACAAGGCGACATACACTACTTTTTGGTCAAACATATATTCATGGCAAATTGAATTTAATTGCTCTCAAAACGATCAAACCTGCTTATTCACTTGAAAACGCTAATAATTACCGGTAGGGTCACCCATGCCGGACAGGTCGAAGGGGAAGAGTCAGACTAAGAGAGATACTGTAGTTATATTTTTTTTATTAATATTTTTTTAAATGAATTAGAAGTAGAAAACACAATAATTAATAAACACGAGATATAAAAGAACCTCTTAACATTTTAAAAATTAAAACCAATATTGCATAAAATATCGCGATTTTTCGTATGATATTTTCGAAAAGTCTGATAGTATACTTTTTAACGAGCTATCATATGATCGTGAAAAAATCAATTAACGCTGATGATTGAAAGTCCTTAAAAATCGAAACAACACGGTTAAAACTATAGAAAAATATAATAATTATAATAGAATAGATCCCCGCGTTTCGGAAATTACAATTTTTCGTATGTCGTATATAGTATTCAAGTTTCGAGAAAAATAAATTTTTTTCAATTGCAATTCCGGCTTTTTATTTAAAGTTTTGGGTAGCACCTCATGAGATATAAAAGATACGCTTATCATTTTTACGATAAAATCAATATTGCAAAAGATATCGCCATTTTTCGTATGACTTTTAGGGAAAATCTGACAGTATATCTATCACCGGGCGATCATGTGAACATGAAAAAAATAAAAAGTATAACGAAAAACCGCGATGTGGTCTCTTTCAGGCTTTTCTCTGTTGATAATAAAATATTTTATCATCTGTTGATCAATCAATTATATATCTTAATTCTTTCACATATTTTACTATAGATGGCTTAGCATACTCTAGTACATGTTAGATACGTAACACGTGACCGACTTTGATAGACTCGTACTTCGTAGATCGTTTGTTGGGGCCCATAAAAATTATTAATTTTTCCCGTTATTATTTATATCAACAATATGTAACATATATTAATAATTGGTTAATTAATTAATAAACATTATATATTCAGAATAGGTGTATAAATATCACATATACATATCTTTTCATTCATTTTTTTTGTGAGGGATTTGATAACGAAATATATACGTGACTGAGACGTAACAGCGTCTGCTAGCGTTTATGCTATACACATGCGCGAAATTAGTCCATCAACGTACGACACAAACTGGCTCTTGAAACCTCGTGGCATCTTCTAAAAACGGAAATCCATAAAAAAGAATAAAAAGAACTAGCTTGAATTTTTTCAACATGGACTCTAAAAAGACTGGACCGATCGACAATGCGTGGTCATTGAAAATTCCACAGTTTAAAGAGAAGGATAACCCACATCGTCTCCTTGAAGAAAGTTCATTCGCAACTATGTTCCCAAAGTATCGGGAACAGTATTTGAAAGAACATTGGTCGTTGGTTCAGAAAGTGCTAGCCGAGCATCATGTCAAGGCTGAGCTAGATCTTGTCGAAGGTAGTATGACAGTGAAAACTACTAGAAAAACGTGGGACCCATATATCGTCATCAAAGCACGCGACATGATCAAGGTCATGGCTCGTTCCGTTCCCTTCGAGCAGGCAGTGAGAGTGCTCCAGGATGGCATTGCTGCAGACGTCATAAAAATATCCTCGCTTGTCAGGAATAAGGATAAATTTGTCAAAAGAAGACAAAGGCTCATCGGACCAAATGGATGCAATTTGAAATCCATTGAACTGCTCACCAATTGTTATGTCGTAGTCCAGGGACAAACTGTGTCGGCACTGGGCCCTTACAAGGGTCTACAGCAAGTGAGAAAAGTAGTAGAAGATACGATGAAAAATATTCATCCAGTTTATAGCCTCAAAGCATTGATGCTCAAAAGAGAACTTGCCAAGAATCCAAAATTGAAGAATGAAAATTGGGAGCGTTATCTTCCCAAATACAATAGTAAGAATATAAGCAAGCGCAAAGAACCGAAGAAGAAGAAGGTGAAGAAACCATACACTCCATTCCCACCGCCTCAACCAGAAAGCAAACTTGATAAGGAGATGGCATCTGGCGAGTACTTCTTGAAGGAAGAACAGAAGAGGGCAAAGAAAAGGAAGGAACAGGAAGCGAGACATGAAGAAGCAACTAAGAGAAGACAGGAACGCAGAGCACAAGCATTTGTACCACCTGAAGAAAAGCCTGTTCAAAAGTGAAACTGCCGAAAAACTGTGATATTAACATTATATGAATATAAAGAAGAAAGTTTAATAAGAACTCTGCAGAAGCGCAAGATAGAATAATGTCATAACGCAAATAATAACAGGTATTTCTTTCATGATATCAATGATACGATATACAAAGGTACGTGATATGTAAAGTGAATGAAAAGGTATGAAAAATTGAATTTTGTTACACAAATATAATTTACGGAAATATCCCGCTATTTTATTAAAAAAACTTGTTTTTATAATTACTGTAGTATATCGCATTCTTAACATATATTTATACATATATATATAATTTTTTTACATTTTTGTAAAATATGGAGTAGAGGAAATTTCGGTATTTAGCATTTTGAAAACTAATATACTTAGAATTTATTATATACACATTTTTTTCAATAATATATATATATATATTTATTTTTATTTATTAAACTTACAGAATATTTTGAATGTTTTGAAACAATCTCGATAAAATAAAATTTTGCACATATTTTCACAGATAATATATTGTAAAAATATAATATTTTTAACGTTATTAATCATATTTCTTCTCTGTTTGACTTATACTTCTGATTCTGCTTTTTTGAATCAGGATATTTTGTTCCAAGTAGAATATAAAGTCTTCAATATGCTAATACCTTGCGTGACTCGATGCAGTCGCCATTTCAAATCTCATCGCAAAATTATCGTACTAAAGTAGTGGATGCCAAATTAGCCCTGAATCATTTTTCAATATCCAAAATCGCTCTTATCAGACAAAATATTAAACTAATATATCATACTCGTCGTATGACAAGGGTGTAAATACTCGTTCAATATAATACAGCGCCCTTATTCTATCTGCACCACAATTTCGCTTCTTGAGTACAAATTTTCATATTATTGAATACACCTATATTAACATTGACTGGTTATCCGCTATCTTAATATTAGGCTCGAGTCGCCTATTATCTTATTTTATTAATTTTGGAAGTACGACATTTCGTTAACTTATATCTATACTTGTTCTCTTTTATGTCGTGGATATATTTATTTACAGATATATGAGTATATATAATATATGATTGTGTGGCGATCCCGCTTACGTGAGAAATGCACGGAAATGAGTAATAAATATGTATTCACGCTAATTGCAAAACAAGCTTTTTGGAATTGTTAGGACGGGAGGGGAGTGATCGATATATATATAGAATGTGCATAATTATTTACAAAACGATTTTCACGTCGCGTGAGATATAGACAAGTTTCAGAGTATTTTCCGCATGCTTCCGTTTGTGCGTGCGTATTCGATATCGCATATTTCTCGTACTTCCTCTTGGTTTAGTTAATAAAAAATTGGATTAATTTTTCCTTTTTAAAATAGGTTCTCGATCAACAATTATGGGAGAGATCAGTGTATAGTACGATATTTTGTTTATTTCATAATATTGAAAGGATTATTTGCGGAGCTCTAATCTCTTGTAATTACTAGATTTAATTGTCAAATAATTTCTTATTAAAAGTTAAGCATTCCGTTAATTAAGCTTTGCATGCGAATTATTATCTATAAAACTTTAAATTATTTGAAAACAAAGTTTCAAGTTATCTAGCTTTTGAAGCTTGGACGGCAAAATCCTTTAATTCAAACATTGACTGACTCTGTAATTAGACTTTTCTTTTTCAATCTCTGGTTAAAAGTTAGTCGAAATCCTTCAAAGCATCTGTAGCCGAAGGAAGCGCGATAATACAGAGATATACCTTATGTACGTATTTACTATCTACGTATATGTCATCGCTAGCTGATTCTTCGATTAAAGGAAAATAAAGGGTCGATGTTTTTTCTCGCGCGACGATACAATAAAAATCTGAGATTTTTTAGACATTTTGATTTTCAGAAGCGATTTATTTTCATAATATGCGATCGTCTTCGTTTAATAGAGACATGGACGAAATCGATCGCGTAATATATTTATATTGAATTTATTATCAGCCTACATATAGAGAGAATATCGATATCAAAAGAATTTTTTGCCATATGCTTAGTGCAGTAGCTAGCTGGATTAATATATTGATGCCCGTGTATTATACAAAATTTTATTAAGATGCTATTATTCATCTTGCTTCGCGATGTTTATAGTTCCAGCACGAAGCAACGGCAGTAAGATATTATCGTCGGAAAGTATAAGTGTACAAAAGATCACGTCTTCTGTTAATACATATTGCTATATTAGTCGTGTCAACTGTCACTTTGATTCACTTAACACGTTGTAGACGAGTAATGGAATCGACAAGGTGCGACAAATGCACTTAAAAGAATTTTCACATTTTTAGTTTTTTAATTTGTTTATAATTTTTAAAATCGAATTTTTTTAAATTGATGATTACTATAATAAGAATTATTTCTCTAATTAAAAATGAAAAATTGGAGAATAAATATTTTACTTCTAAGAATTAAAAACTCAAATGTATAGAATCAAATTATATTTCAACTTCTTCTAATCCATTTATTTTTGGAATATTATATTACCGAGCTACAATATGTTAAGTATGCTTATATGTTTCAGTTACGCGCTTTTCGCACAACCAAGTAAGTATACAATTAGTTACAAAAATAAATCTCTTTTCTGCGAATCTCGTATAGCGCATATTTTTGACGAAAAAGCGTTTTGTTCGTCGCGATTTCTTTGATTACGAAGATAGGTATCGGCGGATTTAAAAAAGCGCCCCGTATACACACTAAGATCAGATAAAAATAACATACATTTTGCACAGACATTGCGTGATTGCGAGACTAATCAAAATAGCAATATTAGCTAAGAAGTTTCTTGCGTTGTACATTCTCAGTATGTCATATGTAAATCAAAATTAGTATAAAATTTGTGGATTTTCGGATTGTGCCAACAACGTACATGACATTTTTTAAGACATCCTAAACAAATGGAATTTTCCATTATGTGAATCTTGTTAAAAATTTAAATGTCTAATTTATTGCGATGTAGAACGAGAACACAATCGTGTTGTAAATGGTTCTTTTTTAATGTAAATATAGCAAAAATCTTCTTTGCGTTTATTTGCTTAAAAGCGTAATCTCAAAACGGTGTTTGTGATAAAACTATCATTTATCTAAAATATGAAGTAATGCCAAAATTTTGGCTTTCGTCGTATAAAAGAAGATTACATACAAGTAAATATAAAAAAAATGAATTGCCCATTACTTGGACACTCAAACTACTATAAAGTACTATAAAGTATCGGCTTTCACTAAGTTTGAGTTTGTGATAAGTAAAAATGTCATAAAATCAGTTATATATCTTCTATATATAATTATATTCTGATATA